GGGTGGTTGTGTGCTTTATTTGTATGCATCAGATCCGATCACGAACATCAAAAGTATATGGCACCTGTGACATAATATATTGTGATAGAGACCCTGCAGTGTGCGCCGTTCGGAAACGCGCCGCACCAATTACTTCCAAAACTTGGATCTGCTAGCGATAGACAGGTCTTCTTGTCTGTGTGTTCGAAACTCCAACTTCTGTCTTTCCTTTTCACGTCCATTTCCTGCGCTGTTTTGTAAGTATGCATTTGTAAAATATAACAATATTGGTATAATATACTAAAACAATATTGTCGCAGAATCGTAAATATGTGTCGTATGATGACAGAAATGCGTGGACAAACCATGGTTTGTAAAGAGAAAATTTTGCTCTTGGTATTCCTGGACTGATCTTCTCCAAACTCTAATCATGCCGATACAGATCAACCCCTTTTCTTTCTCTTTGATGTGTTAAGTATGTATGTATGAGTTTGGGCATACGGATTGAGAGAGGGGTGAATAGATGAGGATGACGTTAGAGACATTCTTGAAGAGACCCTAAGAAGAGTTGTCTGTAAAAAAAATAACCTACCGCTCATGCTCCTCGGAGGATTGTTCCGCGTCCAATTCCCTACACTAACCGAATTCCAAATTTAAACATTGGAATCAAAGTTTATAACTAATCCTAAACCTACAAATAAGCCAACGAAATATAGTCCGGAACAATGAACGCCGGAGCATAAAGCTATGGGTGTTGGAACATGATTACTACATATGCACTGCTCGACTGTATTTCTTAAATTATATGCAACTTCAAAATTCCGAGCATTGCATTTGTTCACTTTTTTTTTCTTGTTCTTTCTTGAGTAAGCTGTGCAAACAAAAGCATTTTTCCATGTTTTGATTGAGTTATGGAAATAAAATTATTTGAATTGAATTGGAGAACCCTAAGTTGACAGAAGGTTCATGATACGTCTCGCAGGCCGCCTGTCTCACCGGTTTTGGTCTCGTGAATCGTTGGAGTCAGAACCCTTAGATAAGCCATGAGACGTTTAGCGGACCGACGCGTCGGTCTCGCGGGTAGCCTTTAAACAAGGCCACATGCCTGATAGACGCCGAGCGACTAAAAAGAGACTAATCGCGAAAACCTGAATGAACGCCAGTGCGAATTGGCCACATGCCTGATAGACGCCGAGCGACTAAAAAGAGACTAATCGCGCGTTCACTCCGGGTATCTAGACTCATCTCAGCCGCTTAACCAGAGTCAACGAGGCCTTGTCAAAAGGCTATCTCGCGGGCTGTCGGTCTCTCGGATCGTCAGTCTCGTAGACTCTCCGTCTCTTGGGTTGATTTTCGCCCAAGAGTAAATCCATGCTGATTATTAGAGTACTGGTGACCACTGACACAGTTAATGAGCTAATTATTACTGGTTTAGCCTCAGAGTCACAACATCTGAGCGATGCCATTATCTCGATTAATTGAATTTATGATATTCATGGAAAATGAACTTGTGTCTTACTCATTCTAGTCTTATTCATTCGCATTATGTCTTATTCATTCTAGTTCTAATGTTTTCTGACTGTTTTCAAGACAATATCATTTTTGTCGATCTTATTTCTAGCATTATGTCTCATTGTAATTTTTAGGGAGAAAAGCAATCTAAGCAACAATTTCTGAATTGTAGCGACATTCGTTCGCCATTGCTGCTCTTTATTACTACTTTGACATACAGTAACAAATTGATATTTCAGGGCTCATGATAAGTTCGTTTAACAGTTGATTCCGCTCGGTTGATTCTGATTGTTCGTATTATTTAGCAGATCAGAGAGAGAAAGAAGTGGACATTCTCATGACTAACGACTTAATTGGAGTATTCTTATCTGTTCATCGTCTCTACAATGGTATTTGAACAATATTCGATGACAATAAACGGCACTCTGGCACTATTTTTCTGTAGCGTCATGCAATCACGTGGCAGAAAAAGTATCATCAGCACCGGGTTAAATAAATTAACGAAGACTGAATTTCAACCCGGGCTATGATCTCTCTCTCTCTCTCTTTCCACAAACTTAACGCGCTCCACTTTACTCTGGCAATGCTCTGAAAGTCCGATGAAACATCAAATAAAAAACTTTTGGTTTTATTAACATGTATTTTCTTGTTTCAATATTATCAACCAAGATTATTTCTTCTTCAGTGTTTTCAGCACTCGGAAAACCAAATTGTCTACACACTTAAACTTTTCACCATAAGCTATAGAAATTCTGTAAGAAAGTCCGATGATATTCATAAACTTCAATATCATTTGTATCTATTTTTCCTCTGTTTTAGTAAAAAAATATTTCATTTTCAGTGTTTTCTGTAATCGGAAACCAATGTTTAAGTGTTTTATATTAGATTAAGATATAAGCAGATGATGTATAATCTAAAAACGTAATGTGACGTTTCAATAACCCTTTGACCCATCTTCTTATGTTTTATGGAATACAATCGTCCCAAAACCACCTGTTCTACAAATTCATTGTAATCACATACCCCATCGCTGACGACTTCACAAAGTGTATAGTTCATGATATTAATATTCCTGTCTTTCTCTGTCTGTCTGACTCTCTCTCTCTCTCTCTCTCTCTCTCCCTCTCCCTCTCTCTCTCTCTCTCTCTCTCTACCTCTCTACCTGTCTATCTTTCTCTCTCTCTCTCTCTCTCTCTGTCTCTCTGTCTCTCTCTCTCTACCTCTCTCTCTCTCTCTCTCTCTCTCTCTCTCTCTTTCTATCTTTCTTTCTTATTCTCTCTTATCCTCCTAATTGAATAACTCATATCTCGTTACTACGACAATTTATAATTTCCAGATAAAGGTATAACTCATATTTTGGTTTATCTATGGTACATAGGAAGGATTTAATGCAATTTTGAGTACTAGTTTATGACAAAATTTAGTACAGTTACAAAAATTTTGTACCACTAAATTATAGACTTTGGAATGTTAAATGTTTCTTATCATGATTTTTATTAGTGTTAAAACTGGGGCAAACTCAATATGTTTTATGAAGTTTTGTTATCTTCAGAATTGTCTGCAAGGCATTATTTGCTTTGATGCTTCATTAAAGTAGGTTTTACAAGGTTCATTCAACCTGTGGCTAACTTAAGCCATCACTCATATACTTATGTATATAGCTTTAGAGCCGCCCCCCCCCCCCGAAAAAAAAACATTCTGCCGTCCCTGAAAGCTTCATAATATAAGGACAGCATAACGACAACTTCAGGGTTGGTTTGTTGAGCAAACAATTTTATACTCAGGAGCCACCGTATAACAGATAAAAGTTTGGTCTTTAAAAAAATGTATCCACCGCTGCTTGACACCAGAGGTGTCAGGGTCTAGGGGATACGTCACCGGACTGTGGATCACATGGTCCACGGTTCGAGTCCCAGCGCGGCACTAACGTCCTTTGGCAAGTCATTTATCTACATTTGCCAATCTCCACCCAGGTAATGGAAATGGGTAACCGATAGGAAGGTATTCCTTGACTGCCAGATGGCTTTATCTTGGTAGCTCTGCTATTGCCCGCGGTAATAATAATACAGCGATTTAAAACATATACGCAATACTATGTGGTATTCTTCTCCTTCTTCTCCTTCTTCTCCTTTTTCTTCTTCTTCCTCTTATTATTATCATTATTATCATTATTATTATTATTATTATTATTAATATCATCATCATTATTTATATCTCCTCATTGTTGTTATAAAGAGAAGAACACCTCTTTGTGACAACATAGGTCATAGTTCATTCGTAGTATGCATGTATTGTACAGCTGTGGTTCATTTACTTGACTCTCTATCCAAGGGTCGAGGGTTCGAAACTCAGCCCGGCACCTAACGTCCTTTGAAGAGACATTAATCCACATTTTGCCACTCTTCATCCAGGTGTATATGGGTACCTGGCAATTGCTGATGTAATAACAGGGTCCTCAGAAAGAACATCATTGAAGCTAATGAGGCTTCCATGAGAAAACAAAATGATTAATATTTTCTACGTTGTATCTTGTAACCCATCATGCTTATTGTGCCTCCGTCCTAGAAAAAAAAAATTCTGCCCCTGAAATCAACATGTGTTTTACCAGAACAGACATCATAACCATAATGTCACGGTTTATTTGTTGAACAACAGTTATACGGTCGCAAAGTCTTTCGAGAAGTCAAATCGAAAGCAGTTTCAATTGTACTTTGAAACTGTATATTCATTCGAAAATATGTTCGAATTACGCAATACGTTGTTGTAATGGTCGTATATTTCATAAGGTGGCGGACAGGGCTAATTAATTTATTTATTTTCCGAAAATCTCTGCGATCTTGTTCAATGCTATTCTCAGAAGCCTCCAGCAAAATGTTTCGTTCGGGTGACCACGACTACATGCCTGTATGCTTTACATGCTACTTCTACTACATATCATTAATAATGTTAATGTGTCAGTGACCCAAACCTTTATCACGTCTTTCTTTACTCTTTTGAATTCAGTTACGGTATTTTATATTTTATTCTGGAACCAAGATTATACAAGCTTTGCTTTTTGATAGGATCCCCACATCTAATACTGTTATTTCTCTACATGTATGTCACATGTAAATGTTCTATTATACATTCTCTTGTTAAACCTTATGTATGAGACAACATTGCTATGCGGAATGTGGTGGTTAAAAGGGGTTAAAGATTAACCTTCAAAACCATGTAGCCACACCAGCATGGTTCTTATCCCATGCTGGGAACAAAAACGGGAACACACAGTTTGACATGTTTTCATTTATTTGGCAACATTCAACCGCAGCTCTTTCCACTGACAATAAATGATTAAGTGTAACTACTTCTAAAACCTGGAATAAAATACATGTACCATACCCAATTCGAACAATTGAAAGTATGTCAAAGAATACTAAAGAACCATATTTATTTATTTTTAAAAGAGAGAGAGAGAGAGAACAAATCTCAAAATGAATATTTGACAAGCAAGTTATGACTGCTTTTTTACTCTTCTTTTTTTAGTCGACATTTTGGGTCGAATATGTGAAAAGGGGGCATATTTTTTATGCTGTTGTTGTTTGTTTGTTCGTTTATACTTATGGTATGTCAATTTAGTTTTAGAATGTGCTCCTCTTCCCCACTATCCCACTGTCCCCGCTTCATATGCCCGTCGTATACCAGGGGGGAAATTTGAACGAAAAATAATAACAGGTGTTTACCCACGGGAACGTGTTTACTTGGAGCACTCTTTCCTGTTTTTATTAGGGAAAATAAAAGGAAAAAGCAGCTAAAATTGTTATCATGGTGTTATTAATGGCGTAAGACTCGACTGGAATATCTGATTTATTTCTTATATTCATATTTTTGGCAGGTACCGAAATTGTGTTTTTCCCGGTTCGTGCTATTACTAGTATATCTGTCGTTTGATTGTATATTTTTGTAATATACTTATTCATTGTATTATCTTTTGAATGACAAATGAAACCATTCGAATCATTTATGTTCTATACAACAACTTTTTTTCTTCGGGATATGCAATGTTTTGGTACCGTTTCCCCTAACTGCAATTCAATTCCATTCAAAGTAGAATAGGCCTATATATCATTCCAATCACTGTACAAGACTTTATGAATTATGACAATGAATATAGACTGGTGTAATGATATATATATATATATATATAGAGAGAGAGAGAGAGAGAGAGAGAGAGAGAGAGAGAGAGCACAAACACCCCTCCCTTTTTACCCAAAAGAGATCCTACTTTTATATCACATAGGGCACCTGAAAAATGTAATGTGTTTTCTTTTTCTGCTGCTCTCGCTTTAAGTTGATTTAGTATTTGCTCTTGATTTTCAGAATTATTCGGACTTATGCTCCGCCCCCCCCCCAATGGCTCCTGAAGATTTTTTATTTGTCCGTGCTTTTCAGAGATTTCAGAAATTGTGTCGTCGTCCCCCCCCCCCCAGGAGTAGTAGTAGTAGCAGTAAAAGTAGTAGTAGAAGTAGTAGTAGTAGTAGTAGTAGTAGTAGTAGTGCTAGTAGTAGTAGTAGTAGTAGTAGTAGTAGTAGTAGTAGTGCTAGTAGTAGTAGTAGTAGTAGTAGTAGTAGTAGTAGTAGTAGTAGTAGTAGTAGTAGTAGTAATAGTAGTAGTAGTTGAAGTAGTAGTAGTAATAGTAGAAGTAGTATAGTAGTAGCAATAATAGTAGTAGTAGTAGTAGTAGTAGTAGTAGTAGTAGTAGTAAATGTAGTAGTAGTAGTAGCAGCAGCAGTAAAATTTATTGGATAACTTGTTTAGCACAATTAAGGCTTGTCTGCCACAAGGTCCTTTTTTAATTCCAGTGTTCACTTTTTACCCAAAAGAGATCCTACTTTTATATCACATAGGGCACCTGAAAAATGTAATGTGTTTTCTTTTTCTGCTGCTCTCGCTTTAAGTTGATTTAGTATTTGCTCTTGATTTTCAGAATTATTCGGACTTATGCCCCGCCCCCCCCCCCCCCAATGGCTCCTGAAGATTTTGTATTTGTCCGTGCTTTTCAGAGATTTCAGAAATTGTGTCGTCGTCCCCCCCCCCTCCCCCAGGAGTAGTAGTAGTAGCAGTAAAAGTAGTAGTAGAAGTAGTAGAAGTAGTAGTAGTAGAAGAAGTAGTAGTGCTAGTAGTAGTAGTAGTAGTAGTAGTAGTAGCAGTAGTAGTAGTACTAGTAGTAGTAGTAGTAGTAGTAGTAGTAGTAGTAGTAGTAGTAGTGGTAGTAATAGTAGTAGTAGTAGAAGCAGTAGTAGTAATAGTAGAAGTAGTATAGTAGTAGCAATAGTAGTAGTAGTAGTAGTAGTAGTAGTAGTAGTAGTAGTAAATGTAGTAGTAGTAGTACCAGCAGCAGTAAAATGTATTGGATAACTTGTTTAGCACAAGGCTTGTCTGCCAAAAGGTCCTTTTTAATTCCAGTGTTCCACGAAACTTCGTCTTTATTTCCCTCAGGCAATCGAAACCATGGCCGTCCACTGGGGAGGGATAGCGGGGATGGTCTTCTTCTATCTGCTCATCTTAGCCGTGGGTATCTGGGCCTCAAGGAAGACACGGGGTGCCAGTAACACCGAGCGGGTCATGGTGGGCAACCGGGACTTCGGCTGGGGTGTAGGTCTCTTCACGCTGATTGGTGAGTAAAGAGCGGGTGTGGTCAGTGGTAACGCCATTCACCTCATCCTTATATGCTATGACCCAAGGAAGCTACATCAGTATCTTCACTGTTCTTTCTGCGGGCCCTGCCATTATTATTACCATAGCATTTCATACACCACGGTCGAGAGGGACATTGTACAAGACTCTGTAATTATCATTACCATAGCATTTCATACACCAGAGTAGAGAGGGACATTGTCAAGGCCCTCCAATTATCATTACCATAGCATTTCATACACCAGGGTCGAGAGGGACATGGTCCCAGGCCCTGCAATTATCATTACCATAGCATTTCATACACCAGGGTCGAGAGGGACATGGTCCAAGGCCCTGCAATTATCATTACCATAGCATTTCATACACCAGGGTCGAGAGGGACATGGTCCCAGGCCCTGCAATTATCATTACCATATCATTTCATACACTAGGGTCGAGAGGGACATGGTCCCAGGCCCTGCAATTATCATTACCATAGCATTTCATACACCAGGGCCGAAAGGGATATTGTCCAATGATGTTAGCACCGAGCAAAAATCGAACCCAGGACCTTTTTTTATAAGAGTCAGGAATACATTATTCCCCAGTGCTCCCACTATTCAGTTATATGTTCACAAATCAGGGACCTCTAGGTTTGTGGTAAATCGAAAATATTGATGACAAGTTTTGTTATTTTCTTTGTCATTTTCATATTTATTTTGAGGAACAAAGGGTCACACTAATAGGTTGGTAGCACGAGAGCCGGGGATGTGGAGTATGACAACAACCCCAACACCATTGCAAATCGTCTGAGGGTTAAATCACGGATCAATTTTATTTTTTTTAAATCAATCAATCAATCAACCCTAATCTATGCCCCTACCCCCCCCCCCCCCTATCCTACCCCTCAGTTACAGAATATTACCAATTATATACCTCACTTAAAAAATCCAGCCATCTGATTGGTCGAAATTGCAGTCATGATGTTAGCCATTCCCGTAAATAAACGAAAAATGCCAAACCTATGTAATAGTCTATAGAGTAAATCAGTAAAATCCAGGCACACCTCGTTAATAGCATGATTGTAACCTCCCCTCGAGCGTTTAAAAACAACTATGTCTCTCAAAGCAGTCATTATTACTATATTATTATCATCATTATAACTATAATCAAATGTTGCTGTGTTTGTTAGTATTCCTGTGTTATTATTCATTCTATGACAGCCACCTGGGTGGGAGGAGGCTACATCAATGGAACAGCGGAAGTCGTGTTTACACCAGGGTGGGGTCTCGTGTGGGCTCAGGCACCGTGGGGATACAGTCTCAGTTTCTTCGTAAGTAAGTATATTTTACACGAGTAACATGACGCTTATAATTATATACATACACATAATATATATATATATATATATATATATATATATATATATATATATATTTTCAAGTGAACATGATTGAGTTGATACGTTGCATGAACTTTCTTTCACAAGTTGTAATGAACTTGTCTGACTCGTCTCTATCCATTTTGCAGATGGCTCTTTCTTTGCTAAACAGATGCGAGCAGCGAAGTACGTGACGATGCTTGATCCGTTCCAAGAGAAGTTTGGAAATCGTATGGGAGGGATCATCTTTTTATCAGCGATCACGGGGGAGTTGCTCTGGTGTGCCGCCATATTAGCTGCTTTAGGTAAGCATATATATATTATCTCCGTGAATTTCCACACTGTAAATTGGCCAGAGTTGTCTATGCCTCACAATGTTTGTTTGAGCCGGGAAAATGGCAAAATAAGGCACCTCTTTTAGGAGATTTATGTATTTTGTCAATGCTCTGAAAACTTAAACGGATCCCAGTGACAGGTTTTAAGAATACGATTTTTTTTTAATAAATAATTATTGTCAACTTAAAGATACTATGTCTGTTTTGCAGCTATACCAGCAAAGTCTTTAGAATTTTGCACGGATTATGAATATGTCACATATCTGTGAAATATTTTTTTTAGCAGTGCCCTAATATTAAAAATTATGCAAGGAAACCCGTTAATCTTCTAGACTTCACTGTAAGACACTCTTGAGTGACTGACTAAAATAAGCTGTAAAGGTACATGGACCTACCCCCTGGACATCCACCCCGGATAACCACCCCCAGTCAACTACCCCTAAGGCAACAACCCTCTAGGACGACTACCCCCCGGGACAACTACCCCCGGACAACTACCCCTTTGGACAAATATCCCCTAAGACAACTACCCCTAGGACAACTACCCCTTGGACAACTACCCCGGACAACTAACCCCTAGGACAACTACCCCCGGACATCTACCTCCCGGCAACTACTGCCTGGACAACTACCCCCTACGACAACGATCCTCTAGGACAATTAACCCCCCCCCCCCGGACAACTATCCGAGGGCTAAGTTGTCTGGGGTAGTTGTCCGAGGGTATTTGTCCGAGGGTAGTTGTCCGAGGGTATTCGTCCTAGGGGGTAGTTGTCCGGGGTGGTTATCCGGGGTGGATGTCCAGGGGGTAGGTGTCCGGATACGCATTTATACTTACAGAAGAAAAATATCAAATAATTAGCAACTAAAATGAAACCCCCTTTCTTATTTGAAAAATTTGAATGAGAAACTATGAATTTTACTTAGTTCCTAACCAATAGAGATCTTGTACCTCGAATTTATCACATGATTCCCGCTTCGAGTCCATCATGGTACTAATTTTCTTTGGCTATAGGCGTTCTGTATAAGGGGCACGGGCGAGACTTATATACCCGTAATCCACCATTACTGATTTTATTGATGATGATCTGTCTCCCTAAGGGTCACCCATCAATTTATTTTTTTCGTTTTTGTGTATGTTTCATTTAAAGCGGGACTGCACTACTTGTAGCTACTTGCGCCCTCTATATAGCAAACGGTGCCTGTTGGTCCCCCATAATCCCATTTTTCTTATATAAAGTGAGAGCTGATTTGATGATATAACCACCCGTCAGTGTCCTTGTAGGGAGGTCTAATCCCTCCTGGGCAAACTAGTGCAGACGGGCTTTAAGGTAGCCATCGGACCATTTTAGAGTCGGTTTTACCACCATAAAATCTGCCAGTGCTCACTCAGGTTTTCTCACTCTCTCTCTCTCTCTCTCTCTCTCTCTCCCTCTCTCTCTCTCCCCTCTCTCTCTCCCCCTCTTTCTCTCTCTGCCCTATCTCTCTCTCTCTCCTAGGATCAACGATCAGTGTCATACTGGAGTTGGATCAAAACCTATCCGTCATCCTATCAGCCTGTATCGCCGCGTCTTATACCCTCTTCGGTGGGCTCTTCTCCGTTGCATACACAGACGTAGTTCAACTAGCTTGCATCTTTGTTGGTTTGGTACGTCATCCATAATAATAACAATAGTATGTAGTAGAAGAGAGTAGTAGTAGTAGTAGTAGTAGTAGTAGTACGGTAGTAGTAGTAGGAGGAGGAGGAGAGGTAGTAGTAGTCAGGCACGTAGCCACGGAGGGGGCACGGGGGCACGTGCCCCCCAAAAATGTCCAAGATCAGTTGAACTTTTCTAGACCCCTCCCCATGACGTCGATCAATTACATGAATGTGCCCCCCCCCCCCCAAAAAAAAAAAACTCTGGCTACGTGCCTGGTAGTAGTAGTAGTAGTAGTAGAAGTAGTAGTAGTTGTTGTTGTTGTTTATTGTATTGATAGTTACAGTAATAGCAATAACTGATAACAATTACAACAACAATAATAAATTCTTGCAAAGCGCTTATGTCTGGCAGACTTGACAGTCCTGGCGCTTCACAGAAAGGGTGGACAAAAAAAAAGGGTAGAGGGGAAAAGGACGGGGATATGAGATGACTCGTTTGGCACCCCCCCCCCCCTCACACACACACACACACACACCCACACGCACACACCACCACACACGCACGCACGCACACAATTGTTGGCGTTGTTGGTCCACATTTAATTCACTGAGTAAAACCGGTATCTCCACCCATGATGTCAAAGCCCTCTATATAAAGGGCTGGACTCACGCAATGCTACCGATCATGATCATGAAATTGAGTTAGATTTTAGATTTAAATGTTTCTAAAGTTGTATGTACTGAAGAATAAGTTCTTTAAAGCGCCTTGATGTAACACTGTGCAAATAGTAATTATCATATTTTTTATTACCATTAAATATATTTGTGTGTTTTTCCAGTGGTTTTGTGTACCTTTCGCTCTCACCCACGAAGCAGTAACGCCGTTACCACAGACGTTAGACCGCTGGGTTGGAGAGTGGGACAACAGACTCATGGGAGTATGGATCGACAACTGTTTCTTACTGGTAAGTTCATAAAATGTAAAGAAATTATTTGTGTTTGTTTGTTTATTCATGTACTTATTCATTTGTTTAACTAAGTCTTCATTTTGTTGTCTCCATAGCTAGTTCACGATTTACTTTATTCTTTTTCGTTTATTAATTTATTTATTTACTTATTTATTCATCCATCCTTTGCGTATGTTATTATCATGATGTGTAATCCGGACAATTGATTTCACGAAGTTTTTGCGATTGTGTTAATTATGACCTGCCACGATCAAGTCCATGACGAGATCATGGACTGGTACTTAATGTACTTAAAGTACTTCTATATGAAATAAAAGCTGCTAAAACAAAGATACATCAAGATTTGTATGGGGTTTGCCAACACTCCTGATCACTATCGTATCGTTATGTAGATCTTCGGTGGGGTGCCCTGGCAAGCTTACTACCAGCGGATCCTGTCGGCCAGGACCCCCGACCTCGCCCGTAACCTCTCCTATGCAGCAGCGTTTGGATGTCTTGTTCTTAGTATACCTGCATACCTCATGGGAGCCGTTGGGGCCAGTACAGGTGGGTACGATGGGGGAGGGGTGTGGGGGGGGGGTGTCTGAACAATATACTGAAGAAGTCTCTTAGTAGAAGAAAAAAAAAATCCTCCTTTATTTTTTTTTCCTTCTTACCCTCTCCAATTGCAACTTCCGAACAATTCTCATTCTTTGCGTCGATGGTGGCATTATAAATTTTGCATATTCCGTGTCCAAATTATAATCATTCTGTTCTATCATTATTCTATGATGTTCAATTATGTTGTTCAGGAAATGAGCTATCGGAGGGTTTAGAATTATAATGATTTTAAACTTACGATGTTTGTTTAAGACTGGTCACAGACAGGCATCAACCTCAATAAAACAGACCCTTACGAGACACCCGGCATCGTTCTTCCCGCCGTCATCCAGTACCTCACCCCTCCCGTCGTCGCTTTCCTCGGCCTGGGGGCCATCTCCGCCGCAGTGATGTCATCGACCGACTCGTCCGTGCTCGCCGCCAGCTCAATGTTCGTGAGAAACATCTACAAGAATATCTTCAGGCCGTCGGTGAGTGGCACTTGATCAAAGACAATCTGGAAATTGGATATGTTTTCATAAATTTATGAGATAAACATTTCCAACTCAATCTCAACCACTTTCAAGAAATCGCCTCAAGGGCATTTTATTTGTCAGAAAAGTCAACAAATCTTTTTTTAGGCCACCTTTAATGATCCGACATAAAGAACTTAAGCTACAGTCCCATATACGTCCCGGACCGTCCCGGACCATCCCTGACCCCATCCGGGGTGATCCGGGATTCGGTCCGTGTTGACACCGTGTTGGCACCGGGGTGGTCCTGGATGGTCCTGGATGGTCCTGGATGGTCCTGGATGGTCCTGGGCGGTCCGGGAGTCGACCCCGGATGTTTTTGACGGTCAAAAACTGCCGGGGTGGTCCGGGACGGTCCGGGACAATAGTTTGATCCGGGGTGATCCGTGTAGCCACCGTGCTGGGTCCGGGGTCATCCGTAGTGGCGCCGGGGCGGTCCGTGTTGATCCGTGGCAGTCCGGGAGTGAGTTATTGACCGCCCAGGACCATCCAGGACCATCCAGGACCACCCCGGTGCCAACACGGTGTCAACACGGACCGAATCCCGGATCACCCCGGATGGGGTCCGGATGGGGTCCGGGATGGTCCGGGACGGTCCGGGACGTATATGGGACTGTAGCTTTTAAAGCATCACACTTTTTTGAACAAAACATCCCGGACCATCCCGGATCACCCAGACCATGGTCCGGGATGGTCCGGAGCGGTCCGTGCTCGTCCGTGCTGGTCCGGCTTTATATGGGACTGGGGCTTTATGAGGTTAACAACTTCAAGAATATCGTTGAACAACGGTAAGTAAGATCAGAAAATTATATTACGAAATTTTCTCGATCCCTTATCAATGTTATTTTCAAATCTAAGTAGTCCCATCCCTCCCGCCAACGCACCCAATGTTTGCCAGAATGATCAAGCTATTATAAGTGTCGTGATTATTTTTTTCATTCACTTGACTCTCAATCCAAAGGTGTAGGACTGGTAAGCTTTGCTAAGAGTTCTAAGCCCTGTTAAGAGGTCTTCTTAGTTCTCATTTTCAGTTCTAAGACCTTAGAACTATACATTGTATAATCCTGAAAAGTAATTTATGTACCTAAGGTTTTCCACCATAAAAACGCTAAAACTTCACTTACATTTCCCTTCAGGCCTCTGAGCGGGAAATGATGTGGATACTCCGTGTTGCTGTAATCGTTGTCGCAACTATTGCCACCGTCATGGCGCTGACTGTCGAGTCCATCTATGTCCTCTTCGTCCTCTGTTCCGATTTCGTCTACGTCGTGCTTTTCCCGCAGTTCGTGTGCGTCATCCACATCAAGAAATCCAACACCTATGGCTCGGCCGCCGCGTTCGCACTCGGCCTTCTGCTGCGGTTGCTTGGCGGCGAACCCGCTCTCAATCTCCCCGCCGCCATCCACTACCCGTTCTACGACGAGGAGCTTGGTCAGCTGTTCCCTTATCGCACCTTCTGTGCCATTGTGTCCTTCGTTACTCTGGTCGCTGTCTCCTATGCTACGGACATCGTTTTCACAAGAGGTTATATTCCTAGGAGGTTCGACGTCTTCAGATGCGTGGTCAACAAGGATCAGATGGCTTATGTTCGACCGGGTCAAGAGGTCAATAGTCATGAGGCCAATGGTCACGAGATGCACAATTTCGACGCCATCGATGGCAAAACTACTTGACAAGATTTAGAGGCAAACCCATTGTCTTTATCCAAGCCAATCATTATCCCTTGCTTCGATGTAACGTTATTTAGTCCCCCTAAACACTATTTAGGTTGTTTTGTTGGTTATTGATTCTTTGGGGAGTTAGTTGCCCATTTTTTACTGCAGGATATTGGCTGAACTTTATATTTTACTTGTATACTCTCACGACTAGTCCTTTCGAGTTCTAATTTGCTCCCAATGAGTAGCCCATGGTTAAATATAGCCGCTATGTATAACCGCTTCGGGAATGTTTTCGGGAAGCACTAATAAATCACAACTGGCTACGAGGTACTCTACCAAACTTTGATTATATTTCTAAAGATTATTTTCATTCTAATTCTTCAAAATAAGTTTGAATTCCACACTTACCGTTAAAGCGTAATAAAAAGTAAACGGTGGAATTTGACTGACGAAATCTTAAAAAAGTGTGATTAAAGCTAATCTTGTGCTCTGATATGGGAATCGTATTTTGAGAGTAAATTGCTATGATTTATTCTGGATTGTTTATCCTGAAGTAGATCGGTTGTTTTAACCAGTGAAATAAAAACATACGCACATAAACTTGGGCATCAACTCCGATAAAACCACAACTGTCATTATGACTTGTGTTAAGCAATACGTAACCGGATTTCTTTATATTTCTATGCTCATTACTCAGCCTCTATACGTTTTCTACCAAAATTGTTTGGCACTTATGTCATTTATTTGGAATCTTGAACATTCAGTGTAAGTTTCGTTGAATTTTGTGAGAACTTATTTTCTATATTTACCAGAACTCGAAATTATCTTTAAAGGTAAAGACCGATAGTGGTAAAATAGCGGTTCGCGGGTTTTGGGTGCAAACTATCCATCCAATATTGTTTAAATATTGCCCTCAGAGGTTTAGATGGCAATACTTCAACCTAACTTCGCACAAAGCAGAAATATATGCCCAAGTGTTCAATGTTGAAGTGCATTCGCGATATCTATCCGGGCCGGACCGATATGATAAATATACCAAATATATCAATAAGTAGGCGGCTTCCCGGCAAAATTTGTATCATCACGTATTAGTCGAAACATATTCTTTCACATGATTGGAAGTAAGAGCTTCCATTTCATTTTTTTGAGAGGGGGGCGTTTCCAAAACTGGTCTATAGCTTTAAGTTGTTTGCATTTCAAAACGAGACCTCGCTTGATGTTTTACCTTCCCCTGTGATAACATTATTTTTTCGCCATTATGAATGCTTCGTTTTATCCATTTGATGGACTGTATGATTATATAACATTGATAAAAGCAAGTCAACTAAGAAGAACATCGCAAGCCTAATACATTATTTAGTTTATAAGTTTTCCTAGAAGTAAAGAATCCAGTAGCAAAATACTCATAATTCATCTTTAACAATCATTCATATATCTGGGGTGGTATTCCGTAATCGATTATCTTTTATCTAGGCTACATGTATATACAATGTAAGCGAAGCGATGTTAATTGTCATCACAAATCAAAATTAGGACAATCCATTTCCTGCATGCAGCTGGCTGCGCTCTCGTAGAGTTAATAGAACAATCTGCGCAAGGACTAATACACCAGTTTACGGTTGTATCAGTGCGCATGCGCAGACAGTTGACCTCGGGTCATTGGCCCTGAAACAAAGCCAATGACCCGAGGTCAGTGGTATTTATGCGTAAATTAAGATTGCGCCCATGCAAATGATGATGTGCGCGCACAATGCAGCGCGTAGGCAGTGATATCATCATAATTTGCATGGGCGCAATCTCAACTTACGCATAAATACATGGCCTCTAGGTCATTGGCTTTGTTTAAAATGGCGCACACAACCGTAAACTGGTGTAAAGTAAGTGTTTGTTCCTAGCAATTAAGTGTGTTATTTTCCCTAACGATGATAATTATAAATCGTCTTCATAAATCGTATGTTATGAATTTGTATAAAATGTATTCAGAATGTAATGTGATGTTGTTTCATGTTTATGTTTTATATCCTATGTAAACGAATACCAAAGCATGGACTAGTCAGAGATGGCTCACCTGATGTAAAACATTTCCACCTTTTAAACAAATTCATAGTTGATTTGATTTGATTTTGATTTTATTTTCTTCTGCATACATGTAAGTACACAGTTATACAAATAATGATATTAAGTACAATAAGTATTTTTCTGACAATGAATCATAAATAAGCAAATATATATATATATATATATATACAATCGTTATTTTCAAAAACGAAATGATAAACTGTCACAAACACTAGATTTCCTCAAACATTATTTGCGGAAGAAGGACCGTCATTGTAAAGCGGATTGCTTGATAATCCGACAGCCCCAGACAAAACTCATGAAGTAGATTAACACATTTATTAAGCAGAACGGATAGGTAATTTTAAAATACAAATGTTGATGATTGTGATATTAACCATGCAGATTAGGATGATGATGAGGATGAAGATGATGTTAATGATGATGATGATGATGGTGATGATGATGATGATTCGAATGAAAGAAGAGATGACAAAAGTTGTCCCATTTTCAAACATTCCAGAATTTCCTATTCCTTACCCAACCAAGTACCAAGATAGGTTTTTCTGAATTTTCCCCTTTTTGTGTATGCATCCACAAAAGGTAATTTCTAATTTTACAATTACCAACCCTATCACTAACCATAACACTAACCCTAACACTAACCCTAACACAAACCCTCACACCAACCCTATCACTAACCATAACACTAACCCTAACACTAACCCTAACAAAAACCCTCACACCAACCCTAACACAAACCCTCACACCAACCCTATCACTAACCATAACACTAACCCTAACACAAACCCTCACACCAACCCTATCACTAACCATAACACTAACCCTAACACAAACCCTCACACCAACCCTATCACTAACCATAACACTAACCCTAACACAAACCCTCACACCAACCCTAACACAAACCCTCACACCAACCCTATCACTAACCATAACACTAACCCTAACACAAACCCTCACACCAACCCTATCACTAACCATAACACTAACCCTAACACTAACCCTAACACAAACCCTCACACCAACCCTAACACAAACCCTCACACCAACCCTATCACTAACCATAACACTAACCCTAACACAAACCCTCACACCAACCCTATCACTAACCATAACACTAACCCTAACACAAACCCTCACACCAACCCTATCACTAACCATAACACTAACCCTAACACAAACCCTCACACCAACCCTATCACTAACCATAACACTAACCCTGACACTAACCCTAACACTAACCCTGACCTTAGAAATAATCTCAAACTCAATTGCAACATTGGTTCTAACCCTATATCTCAGACAAAGTACAGTCTGACTACATACCGCAAGAGCAAAATTATGTCGGATCACCTAACATTTTATCAGCTTGTAAACACGCTATTTCGTACATGTTTTATGTACAACACTTGGTCCATGTTCGTCATACTCCTTCTTGGTAAACCACATCTGCTGGAAGATCGAAGAAGAGGCAATCATTGACCCACCAATCCACACAAAATATTTCCTTTCTGGCCAAGCATTAACCTTGACCTTTGCCTTTTGAGGAAACAAGGCGGAAAGTTCTTTTTGGAGTCTTTCTTCAAGTTGGAATCCTGGAATCATCTTGGAGCCTCCGACGAGAAAGATATTGGAATAGAGATTCAATCGGAGATCGATGTCGCATTTCATGATGGCATTGTAGACGAGTTGGTGAACGCTGGCGTGATCAAGATCAGCCAGAGAGGGTATGAAGAGGATTTCGGGGACACGGAAGATTTCGTTGCCAAGAGAGATATCGTGGAGATCCGGAAGTGTACAGGTTTTGGTCATTGCAGATGAGCCAAGCATCTCTTTCTCAAAGTCCTGAGCGACGTAGCAAAATTTTTCTTTGATCTCCCGAACAATTTCTCTCTCGGCTGTTACATGTGAAGAACCCAAAGGAAAAGAAACATATATGTATTACAAATTTGAAGAAAAAAAACGCCAATGAAATGCCTCCTCTCTTTTCAAATTCATGAATTGAAATGAAAACCAGATAAACAACTCCTTATAATACATGTATCTTCAACAGTCTGGTCAACTTGAAATAACACTAGCGGCACCAAATCTGTCAGGAGTTTCGGACAACTCTCACGAAATGAAACGTCAGCAACACTAGTTAAAGACAGAGCCAGTACTGTAATAACAATGACAAAGATAACAGTGACGACGATGGTGATGATTACGATGATGATGGCAATAATGATGACAGAGATGATCATGATCATGATGGTAGTAATGATAATGATGATATGACGATGATTCTGATGACGATGATACTGATGATGATAATGATAAGGATGACGATGATTCTAATGACGATGATACTGATGATGATAATGATGGAGATGACGATGATTATGATGACGATGATAATGATGGAGATGACGATGATACTGATGATGATACTGATGATGATAATGATGGAGATGACGATGATACTGATGATGATAATGATGGAGATGACGATGATACTGATGATGATAATGATAAGGATGACGATGATTCTGATGACGATGATACTGATGATGATAATGATAAGGATGACGATGATTCTAATGACGATGATACTGACGATGATAATGATGGGGATGACGATGATTATGATGACGATGACACTGATGGTGATAATGATGGAGATGACGATGATACTGATGATGATAATGATGGAGATGACGATGATTCTGATGACGATGATACTGATGATGATAATGATAAGGATGACGATGATTCTAATGACGATGATACTGATGATGATAATGATGGGGATGACGATGATTATGATGACGATGACACTGATGATGATAATGATGGAGATGACGATGATTATGATGACGATGACACTGATGATGATAATGATGGGGATGACGATGATTATGATGACGATGACACTGATGATGATAATGATGGAGATGACGATGATTATGATGACGATGATACTGATGATGACACAATTACACGATCGCTCAGAATTTCAAGAAATCAAATTAATTCTAATGTCATTACCCAGTAACATTTCCTACATAAATCATGTTCCAATAACGTAGGTTTTTGTTTATAATTGCCGTGTTCGGATATTTCATTAGGTGACGAACAAGAATATTTGAATATACTCTAGATTAATTTTTAAGTCTTTGTGATCGGGTTAGTCATTTTGTAAAACCCCGTCGTACACGAAGCGTCGTCTGGCTGACGTAGGACTGCGGCAATGAATGACACATCCTTGATGCGCCATGAGAGACAAAAAAAAGGTAAATTAAAAATGTGCAAGAATTGCTTTGAATTACTGTTGTATGCGCTTATTGAATCGAAGGCTTGATTAGCGTAGTTAATGACGCAATCGAAATGACGTACGCCTCATGTGCAATGAGAATAAGATATTTATGAATAAGTGACGTCGTGGGGAGACAAAGGGAATACTTCCTCGAATTTATTTTTCGTAAATGATAGCGAGGACTTTTTATTGGCGACATTCGATGCCATTGTGAAAGATAACGCCCAGTCAGGAATTTATTATTGGCGAAATTTGTTTTGAAGATTTGAAAAATGAACAAACAAAATACTGAGGGCAGAGGCATTGCCAAGAGGGGTGTGAAATTTTAATAACAAAAACTACTAATATCGACTCATTTTCGTCAGGGGTCAAGGATCATTTCATTGGGGAGGGTTTGTTATAAAATTCTCACCCGTTTTATTTTAATTCCTTCATGCATGTAGTTATTTTCTTGAAAGGCGAACTGGTCGAGCACCCTTTAATTTCCACCTACCGAATTCGTTCTCATTCACCAAGAGCGAATGTCAATCATCGATTTGCAGATTTTTCTTTCATGATCTTCAAAAAAAATCAAATATGCCTAGAAACTTCCACTTTCTTTATTCCTATTTTGTTCCCTGCATGAAATATTTGTCTGAGCCCCTGCAGGCAAATTTGAATCACAAGGAGTTTAAGACCACTAAATCTCTTGGGTGAAAGTTTGTAGGAAATTCTCACCATTTTCTTTTTGAAGGGGGGGGGGGCTGTGGTCGGACACCCGAAGAAAACATTCAAGAAAATAAATATAAGTTAAAAAGTTTTAATTGCAATGTGAAGGCTATTTACCTTGCAATAATTATCTCATTCAATTAAAAAAGTCAAGTATAATTTGTTTTTTCTTCATCTGAAATTTCGGTGGGGGCAGTCTGTCCCCTCGCCCCTTGAAAAAGACAAGTGGTTTACCTGATACTTTGGGCGTCCAATCATTGACGGGAACACACATCGTGGTCCATCGTCGCCTGCGAACCCTGCTTTGATCGACCCCGAGCCGTTGTCGATTACCACAGTGACGAGTTCCTCATCAGATTCGGACATCGTCATAAAATGATCACACTCTTCTCAGGAAACGAGCCTGCCAATTTAGAATGCAATCACATAATTCCGCATTTCAGACATTCATAGAGATCTCAGACTAATTTATAGTATAATTAAAGGTAATACAAAGTTTTGGGAAATTTTGAAAATTGGGTGGATAGTGATTCTTTACTATTTTGATATATTTGGATGCCCCTCTGGATGTATTATAAGCACTAGAAAATTTAGTCCCTAAAACACTTCTGCTTTCGAAAAATTGAATACAAAAATTTACCAGTGCTCCCGGTAAATTTTGATAACATTTCAAATAGCGCCTACGGCCGTACAATGATACAGTAGCTGCGACCATGAAAATCTCAGAATATGTAGTTGTGATATATAGTTTCCAAACGGGAATAGCTAATCGGTCGATTTTAGTCAAGAAACATTGTTTTATATGTGTGTGTGTGTGTGTGTATTGGGTTTTTACAGACGTGTATCAATCAGATATGATTATTTACGTCTGGGACCGACCTTTAAACGTCACCATCCGAAAGACGTGACTCAGTTTCGAACCTGCGTCCTCGGCTGAATCAGTTTGTAACTTCCACTTTTTAGCTGGATTACAGGCGCACGCCACAACGCCTAGTTTTATAGTTTAATTAATATCTTGACCCTGAGAGGGAGCTATACAACATAAAGAGTGTCAGGGGCGGCCGAACGACTTTCAAAGTGGGGGGCACCAACAAAAAGGGCACTTTCTGGAAAAAAAGGGCACCTACAGTGGGAAATCTCAAAGCGAAAATATACAATTTTTAGACATTGGTATATACCCCTACATTGTGATTACATTATCAGGGATGATTTCAATATTTGTTTCTCTTCATACATCATACAAGATATCGCTTAAGCATCAAACTTTACAGTTGGGTGTGATGTCTGAATATGCATTTACGAGCGAGTGAAGCGAGCGAGAAAATTTTTAAAGATCTGTGAGGTCGCAGTGCGAAAAATTACATCTTATAAAGAGGAAAAAGCCAATCGTGATGGGGTTATAAGCACATTCTCATAACGGAAGACTGAAAAGACCTTTGATAAGTAACATAATTATATAATCTTTAAATGCGAGCGAGCGCAGCGAGCGAACTTTGGGGGAAACTGCTCTTAGTCGCTTTAAATAAGGGGCACGTTTAATGATTACATGAAAAGGGGACAATTATCGAAAGGGATAAGACACATAGAAAAGAAAAGGAGCACGTGTATTAAGTACAAAGGATAATTATAAGAGGTGAAAATGAGGCATTTTTTCACTTGAAAAGAGGCACTCACCAGTGATGAAAAGGAGGCGTTTACGAAAATGGGAAATAGGCATTTGTTGACGGAAAAGGGGTACCCATCAGATTTTAATAGGGTCATTTATAAGAGGTGAAAAGGGGATAGGTCCCTTATAAGAAAGGAAAAGGGGCACGTATCATTATTAAAAGGGGAATTATCAGAGTTGCAAAGGGGCACTGACCAGATATGAAAAGGGGCACTTATGAAAATGTAAAAGGGGCACTTATAATAAAGGAAAATGTGCATTTGTTGAATGAAAAGGGGGCACCGTTCAGATGTTTAAAAGGGGCAGTTATGAGAAGGGGAAGGGGAAGTTATGAGAAGGGGAAGGAGCTCTCTCTTTTTAATGGGGGCACTTATCATAAGGAAAAGGGGCACTTATTAGAAAGGGAAAGGGGAAGTTATGAGAAGGGGAAGGAGCTCTCTCTTTTTAATGGGGGCACTTATCATAAGGAAAAGGGGCACTTATTAGAAAATAAGAGGGGCACATGTTAAAATGAAAGGTGCGCTCATCCGAGTTTAAAAAGGGGTAGTTATTAAAAGGAGAAGGGGCACTTCTTACAAAGGAAAAAAGGGGAAGTTGTCAAAGTAAAAAGAGCACCTCTCAGTTTTGAATAGGGCAATCATCAGAGGTGAAGGGGACACTTATTAAAAGTGAAAAGGGGCACTTCTCGTACCTGAAAAGAGGCACTTACTAGAGATTAAAAAGGACACTTATTCAAGATGATTTCAAGATTCATGAGAATGGAAAATGAACATTTATTGCAAAGGAAAATGGGAACATGTCGAAGGAAAAGGGGCACGTGTCAAAAATAAAAAGGGCACTCGTCAGAGGTGAAAAGGGGAACGGGGCACTTTTACTAAGTAATAGGGGCACTTGTCAAAGTAAAAGGGGCACCTTTCCTATGTAAAAGGGGCACTTCTTACAAAATAAAAGGGGCACTTTTCCTATGTAAAAAGGGGCATTTTGGGGGTATCTGAAAAAGTGGGGGGGGGGTACTGTGCCCCCCCCCCCCCCCCCCCCCCCCCCCCCGGGAGGGCCGCCTCTGAAGAGTGTATTATTTACAATGTCATAACTTTAGACTCGATTTCAACCGCGACAGCGATCACTGAGTATTGTAGGATCGCATGTGCTTCCAATATGTTCATTTGAACCAAGTTCATGACCCCATACCAAAACTTTGTATTACCTTTAAGCTAATTAACAAGAAACACCATTGTGCTTTAATATCTCCCGTATGTCATTCACATTTCATTTCTTCAGGACACACACAGACATATACACACACATACAGTGGCGTACGCAGGATTTTTTTCAAGGGGGGGGGGGGGGTAAGCAGACATTTTTTTTTTTTAGAGTGCCAAAAAAATCGGGGGGAAGGGGGGGGGGGGTAAGAGGACAATTTTTTTTATTGGTCTCGAAATTTGAAAATTTGACATTTTCTTCCGGGGGGGGGGTAAGGTCACCTTTTTTAGGTCAGCCATTGGCATAATTTTTTTTTAATCAAAAGGGGGGGGGGTTCCAAAAAAACATACATAAAACATACATATAAAAAAAACTCAAGGGGGGGTTTAACCCCCCCCCCCCCTCCCCCTGCGTACGCGCCTGCACACATACACTCTCCCACATGCACACCCTTACATATACTTCTCCACTCTTACGCACATACGCACTTATATATACAGTATGAGTAACTCGTAGTTTTAAATATTATCAAATATACATAATCAAATACATCCGCACCCAAACAGACACATAAATAATCGTATGACATTTATAAATAGACAAGTTCAGTTGTTTTTGACTTTATTACACGTACATTCAAATCAAATACAAATGCAAGGCCATCTTTCTTATATTTGTCTACGCTGTTGGTATATTTTGCCACATTGCAGGGCTTCTAATCCACATCCACGTATACATCATAATTATAGGTTTATATATATAATAATCAGTCTACATTTATTCTCATCTGTATATCTCAGCTGTACGTACACCTCCACACCTCCACAATATACCTTATACCTCTCATACATCATTCAACGATGTAACCGACCGAGTGCATGAACTAGGCAACATAAACAATCTGAAAACACGCCCCTTTCTGGGGAAAAAATATTGTTTACGTACTTCCCAATACAATCAGCATGTCAGTGGAGTGGGGCTCGACAGGAAGATCGCCAGATCTCAATAATAAAGAATATATATAGAATATAATATCAAGAAAGCCGAATACAGGTCAATCACACACCATGCATAATGTTTTACAATACAGTATGGGACTTCACTGCAGCTGTCTATTCAACTGTACTGTCGACCAAAGTACACTGCTGCAGAATATGGATAGTACAGAGGACAATGGGCATCCTTTCACGAATTCGTCATAAGTACAAAAGTTATACATTCATTACCGGGATTTCTGAAAGGTTAAAGTACATTAAAACATAAAAGCGTAGATTAGATAGTTGGTATAGTTGTATCTATACGAAAGTACTCTAAACGTGATAACGCGATACGTGAGTGATCGTTACAACCTACACACAACAACACCCTGGTCGTTTTTCACATGAGAAAATTATATTTCCGGCTATTTTCCTTATATTTTCATATTTTTTTCTTTGCTTTCTTATGGAAAAAGAAGAAGAAAATCTTATTGACTTTGAGTAGAGAACGTATATACAGGAATGTCACGGCCCTCATCATGATCTTGCCAACTCTTTCACAAGAGGAAAACCATGGCTTTGAATCTAAACCATCGTGTGTACTACCATGGACCTATATGGCAAATAATAATATAAAGGCATTATTGCGTGGTAATAACCACAGAAAATCAGTTTCTTTCTCTCATGTCAATACTCCGGTCAATCATGTCCGCGTTTAAAGGTGCAGACCTATATAATAACGAGGCCGAATCTCCTATTTCCATCTAAAATAAGAATAATTTTACATTTAGTAACAGCATGAGCATGTTTTAGTTATAGTTCACACCTGAAATTAGAGCTTGTTTTATAAACCATTACGCTTAATCAGTACAATTCCTGAAAACGTAATGTAAATAACACAACATGATATACTAATCTATAAGCGAAATGCAAAAAAAGCAGCATTGAAAACTGCATGGGGATTGTGAGTTATAAAGTCATATTGTAGAAGGGAAATCTTGGTACTGATAGCACAGATTAGTAGACCCTTCTTCATAACTGACTGAGCTCATAATATAATGCTCTTCGATTTGTCTTAGTTTCATTCTCCATATTTCACTTATACAGCGAATGAAATAACAGTCCCTTTAACTTGTGTACAAAAGTTTAAACCTTAAACGCAGTCATTCATGTGCATCGTACTCTGTCAAAATTAAACAATTGTTTTGCAAGTCACCGAAAACCAAACGCATTGATATTGAATGACTAATCACATCGAAAAGCCATTTTGCATTGCAAGGAATAAATAATGTGAGTAAAAATTGTGATTATGAGTTCTTTGAATGTAGAAGAAGGGAACTTATTTCTACGTATATTTTGACAAATATGTTGTTCAATAATTTCTTATAAAGAAACCTTGTCCGCGTTGATATTACACAGTACCATATTATGCATGTTAGGGGCATATGGCACTCTACAACTCGCCTCTTGCAGTGTAGACTATAATTAGGTATAGCACACCAAAAATAAGTACAACAAACACA